TGTTATTGGTAAATATAATTCTTTAAACCTTAGTTGTTGTAGCATTTAACCCAGCGGGTTTTACACATTTTTAAAAATTTTTGGTTGCGTGTGCCTGGAATAGGGTTTTTTATGAAATTCTGACCTTATTGGAGAACTAAAACTACTAACCTACTTTAAAAACCCCAAAAATCCCCGTATATGAACTTGATTACTCTAGAGCACAATTACTAAGAAAAAATTAATAATCCTTTCTTTTTTTATTAACTTTTCATATTTAAACCGTTTTTAAAATTAATTCAAGCGAATGTGCAGATTTTTCAATACAATTTCAATTTCATACAAAATACATAATTTTAAATAATTTTTTTAAAATTTTTCCATATATACCAAAGTAAATTTATCAATATTTTTAATAGCAGCATTTTCATAATGTAATATCATTATGGAAGGTTGAGAAAATAATTTATGAAGTAAATATATAAAGGAATATTATTTTAACGTAATTGTAATATAATTTTCAATGTTGTTATGCGAGAGAATAAACATGTAAAATATTTAGATTTGATTTATTTAACAGTTTACGAACAACTTGACATTTCACGTAATTGAAATGGAACAAAGTCCCTGCCATGTAAAAACAATGACAAAAGGACTGTCGTTTTTGAATGAATGTACAATCCTTAAATTAATTACGAAAGTGGAATATTCGAAGATATCATTGAAAACGAAAACATACTACCCATTTGAAATATATTATGTAAGTACTAGGGTTCCGTGAGATAAACCTTGTCTACCGAGTAACAAAAGAAAATTATTTAGATCTTTGCGTATCACGAGGATTACCACAGTTATACAAATTTAATTAATAATAAGACGTATTAAAAATAATAGACGTTGCCTATACAAGGTCTGAGATAATAGTTGTGTAATGTTTAATACACGAGCCGTTTCCGGAATGTACACCAAATAATATTGTAATTTTAAAACACTCTATTTTAATTATGTTTGTCTTGAAAATGGTATTTGGAATTTTCCAAATATTGAAAGTGCCTTTATTATTTTATTATGTATACAATGATAAAAATTAATATTGGCTATGTGTTCTGTATAAAATTTACATAAGACACATATTATTTTATATATATATATATATACATATATACATATATTTATATTTACAATAGATACATAAATAAAATATTCTATGAATAAATAAGGCAAGTATATATGTTTTTTATTAGTTGAAAATACGTGGAGTAATGCAAATAAATCAATTTTGATAATTTTAACAAAGAAATATGAAATATTTATGTACAAATAGCGCAAAGAATTTTAAAGTGTATAATATATTATATTGAAAAACTTGAAGGATTTTTGCTAACTCATATTTCTTTGTTTATAATTTCTCATAACATAACACTATTATTATCAAAGTAAACGGTTTTAATAAACATTAATTATTTTTTTATTTTTTATTTTTATCACAGATTTGAAAACTTCTGAACATTTTTTACTATTGACCAAAAATAGTACCAATTAGTTGTAATTTTCTATCAGAAACTATCCCTAAAATTTAAAATAGAAGCCTTTTTACTGCTCCAAAAGATAATGACTAGGGTTCGGATGTTCATGAAATTGCATATTTTTTCTAATGATTAATTATAACTCGGATCTGGATACTAATTTGAATCATATAACACTTATTGTACTTTGTATATTTATGTATGTGATATAGTTTTATATTTTAAATTCATATTTTGGGATTTTAAGAATATTTATGAATAAGTCAGAACATTTTCGAACTTTTTTTAAAACAATTTAAATTAACGTCCTAAATATTTTAAGATTCATTTTCGATCAAATTAAAAAACCATTGTATCACAGTGTAACGTTTATATTGTAAATTAGTATAAGCCTAATATTAAGAAAATATTAAATATAAAAATAACAACTTTAATTTACAAAAATTAAATAAATACAGGTGCATTTTCCTGCCATCTTCGCCTTTAAATTTAGGAAACAAACTGGAAGCCTTTTTTTGTACTACATTTGTACTTGTCTATGCCCAACTTATAGTGTTTCTACAGCAAACCCTTAATTTTTTAAGGTAGGAATCATAACTCACCCTTAACTCAACATTTTGGAATTTTTTAGTACTTTGCTATAACTGGTTTCTATTTTTTTTTCAACGTTAATGCTCCACTTTTTTTCTAGTTATTTCCTATATAAACAAAGAAGTAATAAATACATGGTAACCTCTGAATCCAATTATGAATATTTGATAGAACTGAGTTAAGTTAATCATTTTCTCCTTTTTAACTTTTAACTTATCGAATTAAATTTATGAATTGTTTATGATTAACTTTTAACTTATCCAGTAGCGTAGATACAATTCTTTTCTGGGGGGGAGGGGGTGTTTAAGAGTAAGTTTTTAAGTGTTCGTAGTATATCTTAAAACGAGATCATATATAATAATATTACATTTAAAATAGTGTTATTATGTCCCGTATTGATGAAAATTATTTTGTTATTCAATTTTTAATATATACCTAATCATAGTAAAATCAAAATATTTTACTATAATATATAAATATTAATAAATAATAATCAAATATCATTAAAAAAAATCTGTGGGGGGGTGGAAACCCCTTACAACCTCCCCGTAACTACGCCACTGTAATCGTCTGAGTACATGATTAAATATGGTGAATAATCCGGCCTATCCGATTATCAATATAAAATAATAAGTACACCTGTACCTATACCTAATATATTTATTTAAATACAATATACCTATTTTTATTAGAAAAAGCATCAACTATATCATTATTATTAATATTTTTTGCCAAATTTTTTTCAATGTTTATAATAGAAAGATCATTGGATTTATTTTCAACCATTGTAGATCGCATCCAAGTTTTTATTTGGCGCATTGCAGAAAAAGGACGTTCACAAGTTGCCGAACTTATTGGTAAAGTTAAGGTCACCTGTAGAAGTTTATAAATATTTGGGTAGACATTCACAACAATATGAGTGTTCAAATCATCTAAGGAGATATCATTTTTTTACAAGTACAGTAGTTTCGGATATTAGATTATAACAATTGATATCTAATAAATCCCGGAAAATAAAAAGGTGTATATAATAATATATAATAATAATAATATAATATAATAATATAATAATAATTATATAAGTCATAATGTGTTATTAATTATTATTAATATTTAAATTTAGTTAACCATTACAATTTTGTGTAATATGAAATTAGTAAGTGTGTTAATCAATTAGTCAATTCATGTATGAAAATCAGGGTATTTTAGGAGATATTACTCAATGTTAGTTAATTAGATAAAGTTTGAATAATGTATCAATTACATTTATAGTATTGGTATACCTTATAGTGATCAATAAATAATGCTTTTTTCAAAGTTCAGTTTAAAAAAGTTATCAATCGATTCAGCCATTTCCAAACTTTCATCACAAAACCGTTTTTTCATGACAATAATGCAATTTATAACTTTAAAGTATGCATTTACACGAAAATAATCTTTAGCAGTAACATTATCAACTTCATTGGGTTCTTCAGCACCAGTAGTAAAAATCAAAACAAAATCATTAAGTGTGTTAGGTTCCCTTCTTATTCGTTTTAATCCTAAAATACAAAAATATTTATAATTTTTACTTTCTACATCTAACTATAAAATTATTAAATATTTACTTTGTGCTTGAAATTGTTTATCAAATTTAATGTTATAATCTTTAGTAAAGTTTTGGATTTAAATTTAATTTTATAATCGGCCCAAGTACTGAACGAGCTGGACCAGTCAGTAAAGTTCCTAGATCACAAGACGTCTCAGTTCAGTAGCGTATCCACGGGGGTGGTTTGGGGGTTCAAACCACACCCTTGGGCTTTTTTTTAATGTTATTTTTAATAATTTTTTGCGCTTTGTTACGATAAATAAATCAGTTGCGTTTAATATTAACCAATTAACCAAATATCCAAATATGAAAATTAAATATTATATACCTACAGGTAATAACATTCTCTATAATACGGGTAATCATAAATATTGTCATTGTATACTATAGATTAGAAAAGAGTATATTGGTTTATAAATAGATATTTTAGGTATTTTTCAAAAAAAAATAATCATAATCAATATGTACTATTATTTTGATCTTGAAAATATTGTAGTTATTAAATTTCTTTCTTTCTTATCCAAGAAGTTGTATGAACAAGTTGACGTCTCTACATTTATAGTCTTACGTTTCACAGAATTAAAATGGTAAGTGTTAACAAAATTAATTAATTTTATAATATTAAATTATTTTTTTCGAATATAATATTATATACAATACATAGGCGGACATTTGGTTGAATTTTTGGAGGGGCTATAATAATTCAATGTAAAATAGCCCACAGGGACTTAGTCTCCACACCCCCTTCCCATACACAAGTAAATTACCATAACTAGTAGATATTATAAAATATGATTTCTGTTTTAAAATTAAATAATTTTAGGCTCATTTGGAAAATAATAAAAAATCATTGGGAAAAATTGATTATTTTTTTTACCTAAGTTAAAAAAACAAAAAGTAAATGTATAAATGTAAGTGTTATGAAATAAATTTTAAAATATACATATAGATAGTAATATTATATTGTAGATATATTTTTATTCCTGTAACCACCCTCATTAAGTCATTCTGGATACGCCACTGTTATTACAATTATAATAATTATTGTATTTTTATTCACTTTATAATTTTTAGGGCTAGGAAGCTAAAACCTGTAATTTACATTTCTGGGGGGGGGCTTAGTTCCCTCAAGTCCCCCACCAGATTTCCGCCTATGACCGCTTCCAAAATCAATCGAACAGCCATGTTAAAGAGTGCCGTCGCATTGTAGTACCAATAATGATAGTATATTCGCGTAATAAATCGAATTCAATAGTGAACGGCGGCGGTCGTTATCATTTATCAACGATAACCGTTATCATTTTTCTCGTGACTTCACATAAAAATAATCTGTCTGGTATCTGTGGTGCGCGACAGTCGAACACCAACTTCTGTTCCCTTTGGTTAGAAACTGGAACATTAATTCGCTGCCTCGGCAATAAATTGCAATATAAAGTTGGTGTTGTTCGCGTGTACATCGTCTAACGTCTCAGTTTCGCGATTTATTCGTTCTGCCCAAACGTCCAACAGTAATAACAATAAACTAAAATGTTGTCGACCGTACATTAGTATTACACTCGTCTTAGTCCAAGGTAATCAATATTGTTGCTTTTGAATCGCCGTGTCGAGTCGTTTGACATCGAAAACTTAGCTCCAGGAACATTAATGTTCCATTGCTGTTTTTCGATTTTTACACCTGTTCGTAGTGTTAATTTCATAAATGTTTTAGAAGATATCTTTTTACTTATGAAATCATTCAAACAGTAAACAAAAGAGCTGTTTTAAAACTAAACTAATTTTTAACTGTACTGTTCGATCACCAAATGTGTAACTTTAATCTGTGTACTGTTGAATAGTTCATACATAGATATTTGTTTCTATGTACTTTCTCATTTTCTATTATTATGATTGTTTCTTTCATGGTTGTACTCATTCAATTCAGATATTTTCAATCCTTATTATTTCTTAATATGTATGCGTTTGAGGCCTGTTTTCGTGTCCTTATCAATTATTATATCCATATAATAATAAGTTTTTTTATCAAGTCTAATAATTTTCCAAGTGCTATGCCTAATTTATTATTTTCCTTCTAATTGATAAATATACTCAAATTTTGTTAATTTAGGTGTATAATTTTTATAAATAAATGTCTTAAAACTATTCAGTCAAATAATTATACACTTAGATTAAAATGTTTATATTTTGAACTTGACTTGTTTATCATTCATTAATAAAATATATTAAGACCTACAACTATATTTTATAAACATTAGCAGGTTTTCAAATTTTTTTTTTTAAAAATTATACAATCCATGAAACGTATAGATTTTTATAATTAAAGTTTATTTAGTTCATAAAACATAAGTAGTATTTTATATTATAATTAGTTTTTCCAATTTTGAATTCAGTTAAACCTTGATTTAATTTTTAGTTTTTAAACAATGGCATTTCGAAAACGAAGTACATCTGGATCCAAGCCACAGCTTAAAGAAAAAGTTGTACAGATTTATGAATCATTTTTTAAAGTAAGTTATGCGTTTAGTATTATCTATATAACTTTTATCATATACCTAGTACTATTGTAATCATCATCAATTTTTTTTAAATATTATTCTTTATTATAATTATATTTTAAATTTAATACTTTTAAGTAAATTTATGAATCATCTACCATTAACTCCGTTTTAAAATATTTAAATAATGTCAAATATTTTTAAATTTTAAATTTATTTAATTGTTTCCTTTTTGTCTTATACATTTTTATTATTCAGGGAGAAGATTTGTCAAAAGATAATGAAAATTTTTGGGATGAATTTTTTCTATTAAAACCTAAAGTATGAGATCTAATTTACTTCAGTTAAAAATTTTAGCTTATTTACTTTATTACATTATAGGTATCATATATTGAGTCCGAAATAGAAAAATTAACAGCAGAACAATTGGTTTTACTCCAAGACAATATTAGATTACTATTTATCAAATGTATTGAAACATTTGATTGCAAACATCAACTGCGTATAATTTTTTCATTAAAGGTAATTTTTATAACTTAAAATTACATTTTTTTTAAATTTTACCATAATAGATGATTACATAAAAAAAAATATGTATTAATTTCAATAATTTATTTTATTTTCAGACATTGACATGTTTAGTGAGTAGTTTGTATAAAAAGTTCAGAATTGATCCAACATTTGAATTTATGTCAGTTTTGGTGGTACCAAAAGACTCAGAAATTGTTTTTGAAAATTTACTGGGAAAATGCAATTCAATGTTACGTGGTAATTTAAAAACTCTTTTTATTTTTTTAGTTCATACAAATCGTACTACTTTCGTTATAGTTAATAATATTATTATTATTTTTTTTTTCTTAATGTATGTTAGAAAATAAATGATAATTAATTAATTTCTAATTAAATTTTATCTAATATTCATATTTTATTTTTTATTTTGCCTTGTTACTTTTTTTTTTTTTTTTTTTTTTTTAATAACAATGGTTATTTTTTTTTTTTATGTTAGAACCAGAATGTGCTATAATCAAAGATTTATGTCTACAATTTTTACTGACGTTAGTAAGTGGAACTGACAACCTCAATGAAAACTCAGCTCTATGTCATTTAATGACAAATAGTGTTTTTGAACCTTTGACAGAAGTACAAAAGAATATTATTAGTAATATGAGTTTCTAATATCAAATTTTTGTAGGTACTTTCAAACAACATATACCAAACATACCATGGCTATGACTCCATATTACTGTTGACATTATTAATGAATGTTGAAACTGCGAAAAAGACAAATCCATATGTTGTCAAATTATCTCTATTAGACAAAGAAGAAACATTAAATGGTTATAGTCAGGTAATTATAATCTTTACCTAAGTACTTGAATACTTAATTTAATTTTCATATTTTTAAATTACAGAATAGAAGTTTTTTTTAAAAAAAAATACTGCCTACAGTAAATTAAGACATTACATAATTTCAAAATATTTTACCAAAATTTGTGTTAATAATAGGCCCTTGCAACCTTAGATTTTCTAAAGTTAAATTGCTTTTTTTATTTGCTTAAGTAAGAACATTAAAAGTTTAACATACCTTATTTAGAAATTTGATTCTCTACTATATTAACCATAATTTGAAATTTTAAGTGATCCTGTTTAAACTAATCTAACTTCTAACTCAGAATCATTTTTTTGATAGCAATGAATGATACATTAGTTTCATTTTTAAAACACCAATACAGCGATATTATTTACTCATTTCTCTATCTTAACCAATTATAGAGTTTCGTCCAATTACAATTAATTTTTTTCCAATTACATTTTAAAATATGTCTCTATTTTTTCTAAGTTATACTTGATTCTTAATCATTATAAATGTTTGTAGATCTGTTATTTTTCAGGTAGAAAATTAATATAAAATTATTTCTTACATAAGTTATCCATATTCATTGGCCATGTTAAGGATTATAATTATAATTAATAGAAGAGTCATAGAAGCTATAATATAAAAAAAAGTTATACATTTATAAATTATAAATAATATATTGAACTATACTAATGTTTTTCTCCTGTGTTCATTCTTAATTTTTAGCATCCATTATTTAATATAAAATCGTTTTTAAAATATTAACACTCTTTTCTTTTTTTAATAAATTTAATAAAATTTTGACATTATAAAATAGTTTATATATACAAAATTGAAACGTAAAGTAACAACTAATAAGCAGCTACTACCATTTTTAAGCTTCGATTGTTTACTGAAACTATGATGCATTAAATTTAAATATGTTTATAATTAAAAGATAATAAGATGGTCATTGGAGGAAATTTGTCAACAATATCGTTCTGAAGAAATAGCCCAATATTCAAATAATACATGGTTTAATACATTTACTACTGTGGTTAGTAATATGTTATTTGTACCAGAGACTACTGAAGAACATAATATTGAAGTACCTCGAGAAATCAGGTATTTCACCAAATAATCTACCATTTATTTTTAATAAAGATAAGTGTTGTAAATTATATATGATAAAACCAATTTTAATAATAATATTTTAATACATGTTAATTATTTTTTTAATAATTTTAAATTATGAGGAATAATTTTAAGATTAGGTAATGAGTTTAAAACATACATAATATTCAATCTTTTGGTTTTCATAATTTATAATATATTAATATATATATTTAATTAAAATTATTTTATAACTAGTATTATATTTTTGTTTAATTTTATCGTACAGTAAAATAATAATTAATTGAATTTTCTCTTCAGATCTATGAGTGGAATATTAATTGCATTATATGAAGCTGTGCATTATAATCGGAATTTTATGACTACTTTAACCCATTGCCATAAATCTAATAACTACGAGTCACATCCCAGTGTTATGCAACAAACACAATCAATTTCAACCAATATTGATCTCAAATCACCAACAGATAGTCAATTTTCCAATCTTCTAGTCACATTTTTTCAATACTGGTAAAATAAACTATAGTTGAATTTTTTTTTTTTCGTACAGTTTCAATATTTTCAATATCTTATTTTCAGTTCAATTGTTATGCAAGACATAAAGAATGAAGGCAATGCTAACAACTCGATGCTATGTTTTGTGATATTGTCAAGTATCACTGATGATCAATTTGCCAATTCATTAATGCATGATATGAATTTACAATTTAAAGTAGATTTATATCGTTTGCCTACTAGACGCTATATGTTTGTTCCAGACAAGACACCAAAACCTTTAGCAGCTGCTCTATTAGGTATTATTACACTATGTGTACATTAGAAATAATTCATAAATAAAATAGTGGCTACTTTATTAATGTTATACTATGTTATAATACAACAATGTGATTTCAATATATGACATTATAACTGATCATTAATATACTTCTGTGTTATAGATTTGATGATCGAGTTCATGCTAGGGCACATGATGAAAAAATTACCACTTGATCAATACATGAAATGTATAAGCATAATTCACCGTATAATATGTTATCAAAAACGAAATAGTGTACGCTTATGTTATAATTGGAAAGATTTATGGAGTTCTTTAATTACATTGTTGAAGTTTCTTATGACATATGAACATCAACTTTCTCAAGATATGAATATATATGATTTAGGAATACAGGTTTGGTACAAAATTAAAAAAAAAAAAAAAAAATTATTTTACAATAAAGGAAATATAATTATTATTTTTTATTTTTACAGATTGTAAACATATTTAATTTGTTTATTACTTATGGTGATATGCTACTGCCATCACCAAGCAGTTATGATGAATTATATTATGAAATAATTAGAATGCATACAGTGTTTGACAATATATATGTCCTATGTAAGAACGCAAATAATTTTATTTCATTATATACAAAATAATTTTTTTGGACGGTACATCATTACCAAATATTTTTTTATATTTCATTATAATACTATGTGACAGCTTCAACATAATTAGACTTCTAAACTAAAATTAGTACCTGCCACTTCTATATAAACGACTTAATTTATAAAACTTTTTTGCTTTTTTAGTATAACATTGTATTACTTTTTATTCCTTGTAACTCGTAAAATACTACACATTAAGTTTACTTAATGGTCATACATATACTTTTTATAATGTATAATTTATATTATATTCAATATAATTCAATATATATTCAATATAATTTTTTTTTTCTATAAAATAAATAGGAACATCTTAAAATTTATGTTTTTAAACATGGCTGATTCTTATAAATTCTTTATTGAAATTGTATAAACATGTATACAATAGTTTTATAGTATTTATTTTTCATTGACAATTATTAATATTATTATTGTTATAATTTTTATATTAAATTTTAGCATCAAGAAACTCATCAGCTATCAGTGAGCATAAGTTATCGGCCACAAAGTTATCCAACTGTTTGATAAATATCAGGTATAAAATGATTTAAATTTTCAAATATAAATTAGGTAATAAAACTAATATTTTAAAACTGACAGGGCTATAATCAATCATTATGTACCGAAAATAGATAACTGGTTAGAAAAAAATTCAGTGACTACACCTGTTGGTGAAGATGTAAGTAGAGTTTAATTTAAACATATTTTAATTCAACTAAAAATATAGTATTTTTTGCATATTTTATTTAAATTATATTACAATATATGTATGTTTTTAATAATAATTTCTGTCTATTATTGTATTTTTTCTTTTACTCGTTAACTAATTTCTAAATTGTATGTTAGATACTGGAAGTAGTCAGAAACAATTATGATACACTCACACTGAAACTACTTGACTGTTTGGGAAGTTTTGAGCCAAACAAAACCAACCAAGATTCGTCGAGTTCATCACTCATCAAACTTATGGTCAGCAAAGTTGTCAAAGACACTCGGCAGTCTTTAAAACATTCCAATACAGATCTTCAACAGATACTACAAAATTTTTCACTTTACAGTAATCCCCCATAAATATATTAATGTAAGCTTAAACAGTATTAAAATTGTATTTAAAACCTATTTATTTATACTCGATCAAATATAATGCTTTGAAATATTTTTAAATTATATTATATAATTAAAAAAGAATATAACGAATTAAAAAATATATTTTAGTTTAAAAATGTCTTCAACTACTTTAAGTCTTGTGTTGTGTGAATTATTATTATATATGTTTATAAATATATTTTATTGATTCTATCTATTATGTTATTTATTACTACTTTTTTAATTATTACTTTTTCATTTTTAATTAGTATTATGAAAATTTGTGCCAATTGAATATTGCTTTCCTTCTTATTTACATCTAAAATATTTATTATAAATAATATGTTCAAATTAAAAATAACAATTATTATTGTGATCTCTTAAATTTAATTATTAGATAACATTTCAATTAACATTTACATCAATCATTAAAAAAGATATGGAGAAAAATATTAAACTTAAAATGTTAAACTATAAACGTTATTAAACGCTAAATAAATTATTGAAACTGTTCCAATTATTATTTTTTTTAGTTGTTTAGCAAAATGTTTGTTCATCTTTATTACTTGTCTTTTATATGGACTGAAAAACTACCGGCCTAATTTTTATGTTGTTTTTTGCACAATGATCAGACCACAGAAGTTAAAAGTCATAATTCTTTAATAGTTCTATTAAAGCATTGCCAAAAAAAAAAAAACTGTTGTTTTGATATTTTTGGTACCTTAGTAACATGAATACAAAAATTAATTAATTTAAAATAATTTTTATAATAGTATTAACGTCTGATGAAAACAATATTTTTAGAAATTAAAACTGAAAAGGTAATTTTTCTGACAAAAATGAATAAATCTATGTATTTTATCACCCATCTTTTAAAACTATAATGATGATTTGACCTGTTTCCTATTCAAACTATGGTACAAAATTGTTTAAAATATTAAAATTTATCATGTCAGTTTGTACAAATAATAGAACTATCAAAACATAGGAACAACAGTTGAATCCAATTTCTTACAATATTTTATAATTTTATTAAACAAATATAGTTTGGTACATTCAAAATGTGACATAATAAGAATATCTATAATAAAAATTAAAAAATGATAAACATTCAAAAAAATATAACAAATATGTTACATACATTAATCATCCGCTACAACTGGATTTATCATCTTACCAACACAAGATAATTCACTTTCTATTGTATCTCCCACCTGAAAATGTATTTAAACAAAATTAATTTTATGAATACAATATTAACTTAATATTAATTCATACTTTTAAGAATTCTTTCGGTTCTCGAAACACACCTACTCCACTAGGTGTTCCAGTCAGAATTATATCTCCAGGCAGTAATGTAATCAAGCTTAAATTAAATATAAAATTTGTATTAAAAATTGAATTTTCAAATTAATTTAATCTGAAATCAACTAAAACACTATACAAAGTAATCATGTTAAAAATATTTAAATATTTTTAATGATTAATTTATAATTATATAATTATAAATATAATATATAAATTATGATAATTGATACAGAATCCATGGAAAAATCCTATTCAATAGAATAAAACCAAATACCAATGTTAGATAGGTATTTCTTTCCAACATAACCCAAGTCACATACAAATACATAATTTGTCACTCAGGCACAAAGTACTTTTGTAAATATATATTTTTAACAGATCAAAAGTCATATTATTTAGTTATAAATTAATTAAATGTTATCTTAGTTCAAATATTACAAATTATATATTATTATCTGCGTTACAACTTATTCTTAATTTTTCAATTATATCAATTATATTATATTTTATGATCTATAAGTTTACTTTTTAAAAATCTTAATTAAAACAAACTCATATTTTAAAACGAGTTTCTATTTAAATTTTTACAAAGACACAATGAAAAAAAAAAATCTGAAAAAGAGGAAAAAACTAAACATCATTTTTGTTTATTTTTCTTCAAATATTTATCAGATAATATAGTTTTACTGTAGATTAATATTTTTTATATTCAAATAAAACTATGATTGTTTGATTATATATTTAGTTCAATACAGTTGTAACTCATTAATAACTAAAAAATATTTAAATAAAAGAGATTTATGATAACCTGAAACGTGTGATCAAATATAATACAATTTTAAAAACTGAATTTCAATACAAAATATGTGACTTTAAAACTTACTTTGACAAAAATGAAACAAGTTTATCAACTTTATGAATAAGTTCTTCAGTCGAACCATTTTGTTTGAGAACACCATTAATAGAACACTTAATTTGTAATTTATGAGGATCAGGAATCTCATTTTTGTGCACCAAAACTGATCCCAAAGGGCAAAATGTATCCATACTCTTTGCTATGAAGTGAAGTTTATTAAATTTTATAAATAATTGACATAAAAATAGAAATATACCAATTAACCATTGCCCATTATTTCTTGTTTTTTGCCAATCTCTTGCTGATATATCTTGAGCGATAGTATAACCGAATACATAATTATAGGCATCATTGACATCTACATTTTTACATTTTTTTCCAATAACTACAGCCATTTCTACTTCCCAATCTAATGCCTAAAATATTACATTATTAAAAATATTAAAATTGTTCATAACAATGGATGTGGATTTAATATAGTGGAATATATGGTAAAGGTATTTACTTTTGATTTTGGTGAATGTCTTACTGGGTCAAATGGACCAATAATTGTACTAGCAAATTTTGAGAAAAAAAACGGTTCTATGGGATATGGTTTTTTTTGTTCATCACAATGTCCTTTATAATTTAATCCAACACATATTACCTACAGGTTATATCGTAAAAAGTAATATTTAAACATTGTAATAGATAATTGATTATTACTTTATCAGGTTTAGTTATGCATGGTAATAATTCAACTTGATCCGATTGTAAGACAATTTTTTTTTCGTTTGCTATCCTATAGATAAATAATATTAGTGTTATTTTAATTTCCAAAAAAATGATTATAAGTCAGCTAAATATTACTTTTCAAGTCTTTCAATGGAGTATTCACTTTGTAAAAATGACACCATATCGATGGGAATATTTCGATCAGCACCGCTAAGGCTTACTATGCATTTACCATCGTCCGCCTGGATTCCCAAACCTCGACCTTTGTCGTCTTTGTACTGAACAAATCTCATCGCTTGACTACCAGTACAGCTTAAACTTCTGACAGGTAAATCAGAGCGCGCCCCAAAAGCGTTTTTCAGCCACGAGTACGTAACACGTCTGTAAAGCATGTCTTATTGCAAATAATTTAATTGCACCCAATCTCGCAACGACTGAATCGAACGCGTTTGGTGTACTTGTGCAGTTGTTGCTGCAAGACGCGGAGAACAATCGTTAGCCGAGTTGTTACGTCCGAAGCGAAAAACCATACGGCAATCGAAGACGTCGTCGATTCGTGCCTATCGTTTTTCGTTTACTCGTCATGTTCCGTATCAATCGGCGGCGCCCGTTCACCGATAACGTGCCGTTATCACGGGTAGATATAATTGCCGCCGGTTATCGAGCGCGTCGAGGTGGCGGGAACCGCCGTGTTCGCCGACATCGATCGGGACACCGAAATTGCACTTGAACGGCTTTCTCCGTCCCGTCCACGAGAACAATCGGCGTTCAAGCACGTCGTTGTAGATAATGTTACGTCGGTACAGATAATGTTACGTTGTTACGTAATAACATAACCGGACACGGCATAATAATGGCCGATTTACTAGTGTACGGCGTAAAGCTGCGCCGCACTTACAGTAGACGACGTGTCCGCTCTCGAACGAACTGGTTAGTTGGCCCGGCCGTGGGTAGCTAATGGTTTTTCAGAATTTACACAAACAATTCGACCCCGACTGCATTAACTACTTATCGCTGTCCTTACGGAATCTTCCGTGTACACTTGATACGGTTTTAGGTCAAGTTTTTATTTTGTTTTCCGTCGACTTTCTTTTCGTTTAGACTCTCGTCCATCCGACAATATTGTATTGTGTTCCACGCGATAATTATGAATCCGAAACACAAAACGATTAAAGTGGGAGTGTTGACGGGTAAGATGTTGTCTCGATGAGCACAGTAATACGTTTTGACGGTTTCGAGCCATAATACCATTCGTTTTCAGTTAGTGACACTCGAACACCATCGAATTCTGACACTGAAACGTTTGACTCCAGTGGTCACGAATTGAAGGAACTCATCAACCGTTTTAACGTCATTGAATCGGCCACAGTAGTTGAATACGATTGTGTTACAGATGACTTGGAAAAAATCCAGGTACTGCCCTATGTCTATGAGAAACAATAATAATTCACTTTGTTCTCAATTTATATGTATGTTTTTGGTGTTCCTTAATGTTCAAACGCGGCTGATGATGTGTGCTTGGTAAATTATTAATGTATTTTGTCAACATAAATTCATTTTAAAGGAGAAAATGATTGAATGGTGTTCTGAAAGAAAAGTTGATGTCTTGCTGAGTACTGGTGGAACAGGTTTCAGTCCTAGGGATGTTACTCCTGAAGCAACTCTTGGAATTGTTCAAAAACTGACACCTGGTATAAGTCAAGCAATAATGAATGAAAGTTTAAAAATCACCCCAATGGCAATGTTATCTAGGTATTAGTATATCAATTATCAAGGGGAAAAAAAATAAGTATTCATCAAACAAAAATTATTTGTTTAAAATTGTAGAGCTATATCTGGAATATATAAGAAAACTTTGATCATAAATTTACCAGGGAGCGTGAAAGCAGCTAAAGAGTGTTTACTTGTTGTCGCTTCTGCTATACCACATGCAGTTACATTAATAAAAGATGAAAAAGAAATTTCAAAACAATTTCATGATCAGTTTAATTCCAAAAAGGATATACAATCAAAAGTTCCCGTATGAAAAATTAATGGTTTTTTTTTTCTTTTTTATATTCTTAATTTATTCTTAAATAACAACTTTTTTTATGATTCCTCATTGTTGTTCTTTAAATAATTTATTTTAACAGTTTAGTATTGTTAAAAAGTTATAACTTTAAACCATTATTTAGGAATGTGTTACGAAAGTAGCATGTCGTCATAGAGAATCGCCATATCCAAAAATTAGCATGGCATCAGCATTAACAATTATTAAAGAACAAGCTGTTATACAATACACAAAAAATTATAAAATTATGTAAGTTTATAAAATAAAAATTATTTTCAATGTATTTCATTTTCGGTCAAATATATTCTTGGTTGATAATTTTGCATTTGATAAGACTAATAAAATTGAAGTATTTATATTAAATAAGATTATACCTTAAAAATTAAAATCAATCAGATGAAAATATCATACAAATGTACTGGATATATTTTAGTATAAATTACGACTTGCACTTATAAGACATCTCTTAAGTGATATTGTTAAATCATTTGTTAATTAACTGATTGAAATATTCTTTATTTCATATAAAATAATTAAAGTAAAACATTTTCTAAATACATTTTTTGTTTTAAATGAACATTATGAGTTCCTTTAGTTACATTTATGATATTCATAAGGTACCCAACTGTTTGGATTTATTCTACCGGTGATGAGCTAGAAAATAATAAAAATCCATGTCATAATTGTATCAGAGATACAAATTCTCTTATGATAAAGCAGTTACTTGAACAAGATAACTATAAGGGAAGTGTATTTAATGGTGGTGTTATAAGAGATAAGTATGTCATTTTTAATATATGTATACTTTGATGTTGTTCTAATTACATTGAAAAACTTAGTTGGAACGATCTTTGCAAACAATTTGAGGAAGCATTTAACAATGCTGATATTATAGTTACAAGTGGTGGAGTTTCCATGGGTGAAAAAGATTTAATTAAACTTGTACTTCAAGAACACTTTAAATGTTACATTCATTTTGGTAGAGTCAATATGAAACCTGGGTAATAAGTCTTATTTTTAGTCTTATTAACAAAATAATAAACTATATTAGGTATATAATAAAATATATTAAATAATAAAATTATCATTTATAAAATTATGTTATAGAATGCCTTCTACCTTTGTGACACTTAATTATAAAGATAAAAAGAAATGTATCTTTTGTTTGCCTGGTAATCCTGTGTCTGCTGGTGTTTGTACTCATTTATTTTTATTACCTTATTTAAGATTGATTTCCGGAAGAAAATCTATTGTTCATTCTTTTAAAGCAAAGGCAAATACTCATTTATTTTACAATAATGTTACAATTAATAAAAATATATAATGTTTTAGTTAACACACTGTATTAATGAATTGGATGTAAGACCAGAATTTAAAAGAGCATTATTTAAGTACGAGAATGGAGAATTTTATGTATCATGTTTGAGTAAGAAAATATTTATTACCCATCTAATTATATTTAAATTTATGAAGTAGTTTGTTTTCATTTATAATAGCTAATAATCAACAAAGCAGCAGACTTTTGAGTTTTTTAGGCGCCAACTGTTTACTTACTTTGCCTTCTTCAAAGAAACAAACAAGTATTAAAGCAGGAACAATTATGGATATCATACTAATTAAGAGTATAGAAAATACCGATGTTTCTGCTTTATTATTTAGTAGAGATTTACAGGTAAATTTATACTACTATATGGCAATATATATCTAAGTATATTATTACAAAAAAAAAAAAAGATTTATGTTCATACAACATACAATATATCTTGGTCATCATGTTAGTAAAAGAAAGTGATAAGTGAATCGTTTCTTTCCCTTTTTTTTTTTTTCGTATAATATATTATTCATTATATTAAATATTTTCAATGTGAATTATGGAAACCATAGGTGAAAAATCTTAGAGTAAGACCTGAAGATAAATGTAAACCAGACAATACAGTATGTCTATCTTTAAAAGAAACATTAGATTTTATGACACAGAAAAATGAATTTATTTTAAAAAGTGAAAACATACCTACTAGGTAAATTTTCTATCAGAACAAACTATTTATTTTATTTACAATCCAAATACATTCAATTAATAGTTATTTTATTATTTAGTTCTGCTATGGGTTATGTAATAGATGCACCAGTATATTCTTCAGAAAATTTACCACCATATCCTGCTTCAATTAAAGATGGATACGCTATTAAATATGTTTGCGATGGTTCTTGGTCTCAAAAGAATAATATATTTGAAGTGGTGCAAGTATCAGTTGCCGGAACAGAGGTAATTACATGAATATAGTTGCTAGTTCTATATATACGTTTTTAAATTAGAGTATGAAATTTATTTTTTATTTTTTAAACATTGTACTTACTCTATTTCTTTAGTTTTTTCAAATAACAAATATTTTACAGCCCGGTTGTCAAGAAAAGATAAGTGAAAAAAAATGTGCACGTATTAGTACTGGTGCACCAATACCACCAGGAGCTAATTGTGTAGTACAAGTTGAAGATACATCTGTAATATCTAAATCCCCTGATGAAACAATTGAGTTAACTATTGATATATTAAAAGAACCTCAACTACATGAAAATATTAGGTAAACATAAAAAATTTGCTACTATTATTTTACTATAAATATTTTAAATATTCAAATGTTATGTGTTATATATCTTATCTTACAATGTAGTTTTAGAATCCCATTAATTTAAAAATAACAAAATAAACTTGAAATACTTTATATTTTTTATTTTTTAATAACTTAACACTTTATACAGTAGAAGCTGTTTGATAATCCTGTATCTCAAGTGATGTAGTTGTAATTTATTTCTATTTTTTCATTATAATAACCATACATTTATTATAGTAAATGATGAGACTAACTTATTGAATACGAATGAATCAATTAGATATTTTATTTTTATTCATTTAACGTTGGCGTGTTAACTTTCTAGGATAAAAAGTAGCAAAAAAAAAAAGTAACTTTTATGTCTTGTTTAAATGCATGAGGTACTCATGAAGTAAACTTGTTGGTTATCTTTAAAGCAAAAAAATATTAGAAATTTTAAAAAACGAATATCTTCCTTTTAATAATAAAGGATAATAATCAAATAATAATAATTATTTATCCCAATAATCAAAACATAGCATAAATAACCCAGTTTGGTTTATTAAACTCATACATAGAACACAAAATTGCCAATACTCTTTGCCCCCTTATCTCTCTTCTGTCAACAATTACTAACAACAGTATTTAAATTAAGAATATTCTAATAGTATCCATTAACAATGTAAATTATAAAATCAAATATCAATACTACTGATGTTATAAATATATTACAAATAAAAAATAAACTTATAGACATTATTATATAATTATAATTAGTTGAGATTATAATACTTTTAAACTTGTAATAATACAGTGTACTGAAAAATTTTAATTTACAATAAATAAAAATAAAAATTTAAAAAATACAGAATAAAATATATATAACAACTAATGTTATACTACTGGATCAAAATGTTGTTCAGGCAGTTAAAATGCAGTATAAAAAGAGTGTCCATTGTACAATATTTTGTCTAAGGATGACTGTGATTAAACCTTTAAAATAAATTAATTTGAATGCGCTATATTTTCCCTTAAAAATAATTGGTCAAATTTAAGCAAAAAAAATGATACCTAGTTTGTTCATCTTAAAATTTATGACGATTTAAATTATACAAAAAGAAGAATGCTCTTAAAAGATAATAAAGAAAATGTTAAAAGTAGTAAGCTAAATCGATTACAAGTTTCGGTTATAGTAAATCCCATGGACACAATAGACAAACTAAAAATAGACATTATATTTCTTATAATCAACAGTGAGGAAGAAGAAAACAAACAGTTCTTGACAAATGACAAAATAATCAAAGAAGTGATAGCCGAAGAAAAGGATAATAGTAGAAATAATGATGATAAGGGATGAGAAGCAATAGCTGTTCAAACAATAATTCACTCCACTACAATAGATTCCTTTACTATGCCTATTACATAAGCAGAAAAAAACAGAATAGATACAAGTGATATTTTGGTGCTTAAATAACTACAAGAATAAGTTTATAAAGCAAAATTCGAAACAAAAAAATAAAAACAAATTGATTATTTTCTTAAACCTGTCCCAACAAAAAGAATGAATTCAATGTAATAAATTAATATCTATGTATCATTGATTATAGAACAAATTTGCATTCTATAATCAATGGTATGTATGTATTACTTATATTTTTTAATAAAATTAATTAAGGCATTGCAATAAGTTTATAAATAAATAATAATAAATAAAAAAGTAAAAATGCATTTTTTTTAAACCTCCATTAATCCGTTTTTGTTCATCCGATAGTCCTCTGGTTTTATATCTGTAGGATTATTGAGTTTACTGTAAAATATTATTGGAACATACATAAAAGTTAAACAGTTTTTCAAATATTCTATAAAAAATATACCATGTAATTGTTTCTCCTCAATTTAAAGATTTATGTGTAATATATTGTAATATTTATTAATTATTATTTTAAGAAAACATCTATTTTATATATGTTTTAGATTTATTGGTTCAGATATTTCTGTTGGACAATGTCTTCTAGATGAGAAATGTCAACTCGGCCCCTTTGAAATAGCTTTATTGCGATCTGTTGGTTGCGAAAGTGTTTCTGTTTACAAGCAAGTGTAGATTACATATTTTACTATCAACCAAATGTTGAAATCAAACTTTAGATTTGATTTTTAGTTAGATTTTTTTAGTCAAATTTTAGACAGTGTATTTATTATATTATTATACAAATTAAAAGAAAATATTGAAGTGATGAAACTAAATTAAAATTGTGTAAGAATATTAAAAATAAAGTGTATTCTTTTTTAATCTGAATGCATGAAAAAAATAAAAAATTAAAAACCAAAAATGTTTAAAAATCAGTACTATAGCAAATAATTTTGCCAAGCACAGTTTTTAATTAGTTAACCAAAAATTTGTCAATTTTTAAAAATATTTACTTATTATTAAATATATTATTTATTAATAGTAAATTGTTCAAAACTAAGAGTAGTACCACAGTTTATAATAATATAGATATAATATAATTTATTTTATTATATTTTTTTTTTTTAGATATCCAACAATTCATATTTTACCATATTTCAGTAATTTGGCTTGTGGAATATCCATAATATTAGAGAATATTCTGAAGCAGGATGGCTTTAAAGGGAAAATTATTTGTCATTCTTTTTTTAAGAGGTTGGTAAATATTAAACTAATTTAAAAAAAAAAAAAATGTTAAATCTAACTTGAATTTTTTTTAAGCTCCAATGAGCTTCTCGAACTATATAGAAATGTATTTGAGCATCGTGATATTATAATAATCATAAATTATGATTATGATAACTTTAACTTTAGTCCATCGTTTGATATTGAAAAGCATCTAAGTATCAAAAGCACTTTTCACAAGTAAATAAAAAATTATAATTATTAGATAAATATGTTCATATTTTTAATTACAATTATTTCATAGCATAATTTCACTTGAATTTGGAATAATAAAATTGGAATTAGAAAAGAAGCGGAATGTATTTTTTAATTTAGGCATGGACTCAAATTTAGTATATAACTATGCACATCTATTCATACTGCCATTTTTGCGCTTTTCCGTTGGCAAGAAGCAACAAATTTCTTCAGTTATAACAAAAGTAATAAAAATATAGTTTACATTATATTAAATGTATACCTTATATATTAACCATTAATTATAGGGTAAAATATTACAATATTTGTTCATTATTTTCAGTCTTCAATTGATTTACCTATATCAGTATACAGATATATGGGAGCTAAATTGGATTACAAAGATGGAGATTTAATTGTTACTGGTTTTGGATGTAAGATATATCTACTTCTAAATAATCTTAAAATTCCATTTTTAAAACAAAGTATATATAACCTAAAAATGTATTGTTCACTTATTTTTATCAATTGAAAGATATTTTCTTAAAATATATAAATATTTTAGAAAATAACATTACCATATCAATACATTTTATTTAGTGGTTATAATAGTTATTTTTATAAAGCGTTGTTGAATTGAGAAAATGTATTTTATACAATCATCATTAGATTTTATCTCAAGTAACTAACTGAATTAATAAACTACTTTTTATATCTGATAATTCAATAGTGTACTTAAACTTAGGAGATTAAATTCTTGGATAACAAGAAATATACAATTTAATTAAGAGTATAAAATAGTATATTTAATTAGGTTCATAATTTCATACAAAACTTATATCATTTTAGATATATTCATTAAAATTAAAGTAGTTAAAAAAATGAAATACATCTATATAGGATGATTTACTTAACGTTAAACACTTTGTATTAATATTGACAATTATAAATGATAATAATGAATAAAATATTTCGTGGAATTATAAATAATAATAAAATTAACCTTTTTTTTTTTTTTTCAGTAAAAGATGAGAACTGTATTGTTCTAAATCAAGCATCCCAGGCAAAAGATTTCAACACAATAGACACCACTGCTAAATTAAATGTCGTCATTACTGAAAATTCTGATTCTTATTTTATTCATTATTAACGAAAACATTTGAAGAAAAAAAAAAAACCTTAAATTAGTGTAGTTAAAGAAGATGCTTTTATATCAATAATAAAACAAAAAAAATTTCGAAATCCTATGTTTGTGTGATCAAAACTTGTTACATTTTTTTATTTTATGCATAATAGGTATATAATAGGTACGATTCTACTGGGCAAGTGTAACAGACGTGTACTCCCTACGGCTTGACATTAGTTTCAATTTTGTAGTGAATATATCTTTTGTGTTTAATGGCATATCTCAATAAATTAATGGAATTAATGAATATTCTAAACAACTTTATAGCGTATAAGTCCCAGTTCCACAAGTCCGGAGCCAACGGTATTGAGTTACTGTAGTTAAAGGCAAAAATAGACAATAGATGTAATTTCATTGTAAAGCGGTACAAGAGTTCGAACGTCGAGGGGATACCGGTTCACTGGTAGTGTGAGATGTAAGCAATCGACCGTCTGCGACGTCGTCGTCCGGAAACGGCTACGCGGCGGCGATGGATGTAGACGTCGATTGACGGTCGGCCGGGCACCGTGTAGACAGGATCGTGGACAGTACTCGGCGGTGCAAGTAGGGTTCCGTTGACGGTAGGCGCAACGGCGGCGGTGAGAACTCGAACGGCGTCACGTATCGCGAGTCGTGGACGACGGACGCGGGACGACCTGTTGCCGGTATACGGGCCAAACGCTCAATAGCTGCCGTTTGTCGATCGACGCGGTCCTCCCCCCCTCCACCACGGGACGCACGGCGAAATGTCATGGAACGAACATCGCGAGCGATTGCGCGCGCGGGGACGAGCACGTTGTCCGTGCGCGACTCGCGACGGTCGGTCACGCGCGCGCAGGCCCGCGGTGGAACAGACGTCGCGTAGGCCGTTCGATCCGACGGCCGCTTGACGCCGAGATAACGGTCGACCGAGCACCCCAGCGTTAGCGTTTATTTATTTTTTTTTTTTCCTCTCCGTCACGCCGTTCTCGCGTCTTTCCCGTCGTCGTCGTCTCGTTTTGTTCTTTGCGGCGGCCATTGCAGACCCGCCGCAAGTCGACCCAGCCGGCGCGCCATCATCGCCGCCCCCCCCGGCTTCAGTCCATCGTTCGTCCGGCTCTTCGTTCCGGCGCGCACCGCACACGTTCTGCCGGCATTTCGCAAAGGTAACGTACGCCGAACCCCCGCGCCCAATGGCTTCGCGCCCCGCGGTCGGACAAAGATCGACAACATTGCATCCGTACACGACCTACGCCCTTACTCCCGTCACGGTTACCACCCTAAGTGAACTGGAGATTGTAACGTTTGCGGATGATACCGAGTTCTAACAATAAGTTTCGTTTCGTTTTACGCGTTTAGAACGTGCCCAAACAATATCATTGTTAATCTGTTGTTGTTGACATGAAAAAATGTTATTCAACGTGAAACGACATGATTACATCATTGACTACGTTCGTAGTAGACATTAACGCGGATGTGTAATGGAACGAAGCACGATAGGAGTTCGTGTTGGCATCCGAGTACATACATATATGTGTTTTAGTTCAACCATTGTACGCCAATCTTCAGGCCAGTTTATTTATTGAATTTATTGTCCCTAGAATGTTTTTAACAGTTAAATATTTATTTGAACTTTGAATAATTTTATGACTAAGAGTTTTTGAGAGTATTTTTTCTTGTTTAAATAATTCAACATTGACCAACAATACACTTGACTGACAGCATGCAACGACGTAAACATAGTCGTTAATGGCTGATTGTGGTGTAATGCATTCAAAAATTGTTAAAATGCTGCACCTCATCATCCCTTATACTATTCTGGATTTTATTCCAGATTTCTGAATTTTAGTATCATATACCATATAGAAAATTGAATTGGGATCACTTGCTCATCTCATCATGTTAATAGAAAATTTCTTGTTAATGTGAATCGCACTTACAGATATGCTATTGCAGTAGCTCGGGGTAAATATATCTGATTTCTCTGCTTGTTATCTCCCAATGGCAGAAACATCTAAAACCAACCGTATTGTATTAAGATTAATAACTAAAAGTGTATTATGTGCTTACATGTACGCCACACCATGGCTCTGCAGCGTCCTAATTGATATATTATGCTTAATATTGTTTTTGGTGATTTAGATTGTTGCTGTCACATTTCCCTCCCCCTGACCAGTTAATTGACTGTTTATCGTGAGAGAAGCTGCCCTCGGCATCATGCCCAAGTATTCAAAATTTGATAAATGCATACCCTCAACGTCATCATCAGCAGGCGCGCCGTTGTTTGATGATTCTGATGACAATGATCCATACTTACATCAAATAATAAAATACAAAGGAGAAGATTTCAATATGACCAGACATGAGAAACTGATCCGATTATCTACCAAAGTTAAATGTCAGGTAAGATGATAGTTACAATTGACATATTCTACTATTATTGTGTTACATTAGAAATATTGTTATTAATGAATTAATTTAGTCGGATATCATAACACAATGATATCAAGTTATATGTGGTATTTTTCTTATGAGCTCATAATATATCTTTTTTTGAGTTTTAGATGTTTCAATTTTTAATTTTACTACTAGCCATATTCTCTTTTATATTTCAAAGCTTATAGTTTTTTATTGAATTTCATTTGTTACAAATTGATGCTATTTGTAGTATTTAACACTATATAATAGTTATGTACGACAAATAAACAGCACAACATGATAACAATAAATACACATTTATTTGTTTTTCAAAGTTATGTACTGTTTCACATGAAAAATAATTCAAACCAAGAAAATGTTTAATAATTAATAAGCAAATTATTGAAATTTACAAATTATATTTATGACTTATATTTTATTTTAGGTATCAGCTTGCCAATGCAATGGGTGGCAAGGTAAGCGAGATAATCCTTCGATGAATTCTTCTTGTTCTAAATCAGGTTGCAGTCATCCTCTATGTATGTACCATTATTTATTAGTTATTATTGAAAACAATTTTATTTTAAAATTTTTTTACTAATATCAAATTTTTATTATGTATACAAAATATATTATATTCACTTAATATCTTAATCTTTTTAGCTTCTCATATATCGCATTTGGAAACTATTGGAGATGATCTAATTAACAATTTAATTGAAATAGCATTTGATCTTAATCAATTGTCAAACACTTTAAATAATGATTTAAAGAAACCAAATAGTGAAAGAAATTTTGTGAAAGAAGACACTTATAGTGCAATTTATCATGTAAATATTGTTAATTATTATTATTCATATTATGAGTTCATTGTTGTGTTAATTTATTATACAGGAACTGAGAAGTTTTATGTTTCCTGGGTCCATGGTTTCACTTGATAAACTATTTGGAGCACCACCTTTTGAAAATCCAAATATAGTTAAAGCTTTAATGAATTTCAACATGTATAAGTTTGGTCATGATAGTTCTGTAAGTATATTATAATATAATTAACTTAAATAGTATTCAATGAAATTATAAAATGATAAAAATTACTTATATTTGTTATTTAAATTTTATTTATTTATTTTTTTTTTTTTTTTAATAAATAATAATTTATTATGTATAGCAACTCAAAATTGCTTTGAAACTAAGTAAATGTATTACAAAACATTATGACCTTTGGAAATGGACTTCTCCTAAAGAATTACCATATTGTAAAACACTTCAAAACAGAAAGAGCTATGAATTTTATTATCAAAGGTAGTAACGTGAATACAAAAAAACTAAATTTGTAAAAGTGTTTAAAAGATTTTTTATTTTGTTTTTAGATTTATAGCATTTTGTGAGCTTCCTAAATATGTTCATTCGATTGCACCATGTTATAAAATGAGTATGATATTTGGTCAAGATGTTCTTAAATACACATTAAAAGTATTTAGAATGCATTTGTCTGATTGGTGTCATGCAAATTCTACTAAAATGTCAAACTATCGAAAAAACTTTTGTTTAACCTACTTACCCAAGTAATTTGAAAATATACAGATTTTTATATAATACAAATTTATAAGTTATAATGTTATTGTTATTTTATTTTAGGTATATGAACTTATTAGAAGAAGAAGTTTATGCTGTTCATTCACCAATATGGGATTTGCATTTCAAAGACTCTGATTTAAAAAAAATCATTCTTAGTGGTATATATATATTTTTAATGAACACAATTGTTTTATTTTTATGCTTGTTTCTTACTTAAATTCATTGTGCTTTAGATTCTCTTGATTCTGGACTAGATGAATATAAAGAAGGAGAATCAAAACGTAAAAAAAAAGATAAAATTCCAAATGAGTATGTTTAATTCATACAATTAAATAAGTTTTATAAATATTATGTTTTAAAATTATTTCATTGCATTTAAGTAAAATGTTATCATTGTAAGATTATATTTTTTTACTAAACTATAGATTTATAAATATCAAATATTTATAAAATAATTTAATGTTAAATCAATTATTTTAGAGACATGATTTTAAAACCTAATGAAAAAAATAACATTGAAGATGCTTTATCAGAAGAAAAAATTGCAGAAATTTTAAAAAATGTCCAGCGTGGACCAGTTACTTACTCAACGGTATAATTCTACTTTTTGATCTATTTTTTTAAATAATTTTTCGAAATAATTGTAGGTTTATCTATATTTTAGGGTATTCTATGTAAATTTATTACATATTTTATTATATCAAATTATTATTATATTATTGTACTTAAGATAAACAAGCATTGATAAATAAAATTACTCAAAATTATTTTTAGTCATAACATTTTGAAACGATAACTTATTTTTCAATATTGTCTAGTAGTTAATAATACGCATACATACACACATATATATATATAATTTTATTTTCAATGTACCAATTTACATTCAGTGTTTTAATTTCTTAACACTTCAAATACATAAAAAATTATTATATTAATTATTATTATTTAATTAATTAAAACTGTTTATCATGTAGTTCTCTTACTACTTATTCTATTCTAGCTTTTGTTTTTTCATTATTTTAGTCATAATTTCTTTCTTCTTCATGTTAACAATAAATTACTTTTAGTTTATTCTGCAATTATTGTAATAATATTTATTTTGTAACAAATTAGGAATTCGGATTGGAAAACGGACCAAGAGGTCATCAGGCTCGGACAGAAGAAGAACATGGAATAATACGTTTTGTAGTTATTGGTAATTCTTTAGATGCAAGAGTTGAAAAAAGTACAATGTTATGGCTTATGCAGCTAAGAAATTTATTTCGAACTCAATTGCCAAGAATGCCAGTTAGATACATCACACGATTAGTTTTTGATACGTGAGTTCAGTGGATTTATATTATCTATGTAAAATATTTATTTTTAAGACATGTTAATTATCTTAGTAGTGATGATGATTTGTGTTATAGTATTTTTGATTAAAAATTAATTGATTATCAATATTATTTCAAATACATTTGGAAGTTATAACAGAAAGTTTAATAATATAACCATTCACTTGCTTCAATAAATTGATTTTCATAGTTGCTAAGTATCATCTTAGTCGAAACATGAATCATAATAGTTTACATTTTGTTTTTATCTGTAATTTAAACTATTCTAATTGTGGTGGTAAGTTTTAGGGTGATTTATTAAACAATTGATGATTATCAAACTATTTAATTTATGTTAAGTTAATAATTAATAAAAAAAATAAAGAAATAAAAAAACGTTGGGTTCTATTACTGGATTGTCTCCCTCCGCATGTGTTAAGGATGTAAATTTATTTATTTATATATTCAAATTTGTTTATTATGCTATGTAGCATAGATTGTAAATATTCTTTTTTTTAAAAAAAAAAAATTGGCATGATTGATATTTGACTTTATTTTAATTTAAGATATATTTTATTTTTTTCATTAATTTCTTTAAATAAATTTACTTGATTGATTGTTGATTTAATTCCTTAGAACTAACTCGCCAATCATATATATTCGTTTATTTTTGAAATCAGGAAACACAAAACTTTGGCTTTGTTGAAAGATGGTGTACCAATTGGTGGTATATGTTTTTGCCCATTTGTCTCTCAGGGTTTTACTGAAATAGTATTTTGTGCAGTCAAAGTTGATCAACAAGAAAATGGTTATGGAACTCAGCTCATGAATCATTTAAAAGATTATCATATTCAGCATAATATATTAAATTTTCTTACGTATGCTGATAAACTTGCAATTGGTATGTTTTTTTTAAGGAAATTGATTTATTTTGTTTTATAGTTAATTTACAGTATAAATATTTATTATTTACAGAGTATTTTAAAAAGCAAGGTTTTACCCAAGATGTAAGAATTTCAAAAAAAATTCATCAAGAGTACATAAAACATTATCAGGGTGCCATACTCATGCATTGTGAATTAAATCCAAAGATTATATATACACAGCTAACATCAGTTATACGTTTACAAAAAGAAGTAAGATAATATTTATAATTTATTTAAAAAATGCAAGGAAATATTATTAATGTTAGTTATAATTATTCAAATTAAGTGTTTATTTTATACATTATGTAATACATTAGGTTTTTAGGTATACTATATAATATGATAATATTAATTCTACGAAAAAAATATTACTTCAAGTATAATTGATAATTGTAATATGAATTATGTCTGTTAATATTTTGTTACATTTTATAACAAAATATATTAAATTTTGACAGCCTTAAAAATATAAAAAAATATTTTATTTAAATATTATAAATATAAATTAAATATTATATTGAAAATATAAAGATATTTTAGTAAACTTGAATTAATGTTATTGAAAATATTACATTGCATAAATAATAGATGGTCATGTATGGTTATTGTTGTATAATAATTTGTTGTGGTTTTTACTTATATAGATAGTTAAAAATTTGGTGGAAGAAAAACATCGAAAAATAGAAAGGCATTTCCCAGGTCTTACATGTTTCTTAGATGGTGTGCGAATGGTGACAATTGAATCAATACCTGGTGTTATGGATACTGGTTGGATACCATCGACACGATCAACAAGAAATAGCAGAGTCACAGAAGAATCAACCGATATTGATGTTTTAGCTAAACATTTAAAAAAAGTATTAGTTTATGTAAGTATAAGTAAATTTATATAAATATACTAAAAATAATAATATTCTAATCTTTAATGATTGAATTGTCATATATTATTGATCATAATTCTTTTCGTATGTTATTTAATATATAAATAAATAAACAAATAGTGTATTTATAGCGATAAATAATTAAATAAATGCTTAATCTGGATAATTATTATATTTGTATAGTGCGACCAGTTTTAAATTAAAAGTTCATCATCAGGTATATACAAAGATTGTTTATTTATTTATGTATTTATGAGCATTAACAGTTTAATAATTTTTATTTTTATTTAATTTTTTTGTTATTTTATTAAGTTGTATTTAATAAATATGTTTATTTTTTTTAGATTAAAAACAACTCATTATCTGAACCATTTTTGACACCAGTTGATAAAAAAGTTCCTGGTTACTACGAGCTAATTAAATATCCAATGGGTTAGTATATGATTATATGAGTTGATTTTAATTAGTATACTCATAGATTTTATGAAAGTTTGAATATAGAAGTTTATATAGGAAATTATGATTGTTTTTGAAATGTTCAAGTATATGTATGTATAGTTTATACCAATAATAAAAAATATAGTAATAAAATACTTAATATAAGTAATAATTCGTAATTTCTTTTCATATTTTAAATTATTTGGTACTGTTCATTTATTATGTATGGTTATACAGTAAATGTGGTTTTTCTATATAAAATAATGTAACAAAACTTGAAGGGAATGCTTTTTAATAGTATACATTTTGAATCCATTTATAGATTGGGACAATATTAGATCTTAATAGTACTTGTACTACTATTTGTCAAATTGTATTAAAGAGTTAAAGACTATCCATAAATCTTTAAACATAACAAATAGTGAATTAAAATTATTTTTGCAACATTACCTGTGTTATTAAAAGTGTATAAATTTGTATAATTTATAAATATTTTATAAATTAAGTTAAAAAAATTTAAGATTTACACATTTTAAAATTATTTGTAATATGTATTTATTTAATTTGCAGATTTAAGTACAATAACCAAACGATTATCTAGTGGTTACTATGTAACCAGAAAATTATTCATTGCTGATATGAAACGTATGTTTACTAATTGCAAAACATTCAATCCGGAGGACTCATATTGGTCCAATTGTGCGGTTGAATTAGATAGGCTGTTTCAAATTAAAATGAAAGAATTGGGACTTTGGGACTACTGATGAATTTTTTTTTTTATTTATTATGTATTAAATAGTATGAAAACACTTTCCAAAAAAAAAAAATACCAATAACGTTCAGTTGTAATTTTATATTAGATAAGTATGTAATTTATTGTTTGTATTATTTATAATTTAGTCATTTTTTTTTTTTTTTTTGTATTCATTTCACTTTTATTATTTTTTGATTGTTACGTCTAATTAACTGGTGTATTTAAGTATTGTTACTGATTTAGAAGTATTTACAGATTTAGAATTTAAAAGTCTTAAAAGTTCTATACAATGAGATCAATTATTTATACTGGTAATATTAAGAAACATAAAAATGTAACAAAAAAATAAATACATTGCTTACATATATGGATATAATAATTTTATAAATAATGTAACCAAGAAGGATTTTACTTATTATTAAACACTTTATTTTATTTATATGTTAAAAATCTGTAAACTGTATATAATTTATGTCATTTATTTAATTTCACCTAAGTAGTTATTAAAAACACTCTTTCGACAAAACATTATTTTAATATGTGATCTTTAAAACTTGGCCCTAATAGGTGATGTTTTCATAAAAATACCAATCTTCCTATAACAGTTCATGAATTATACGTATTATTTTGTAAATTTTTTTAATAAAATCTAGATATTAATAATTAAATAATGAAGTCAGTAAAGATGTGAAGTTATAAATGCAGTCTAATTAGAAGGTTTAAAAAGATACTTCAATTTTTTTTTTCAAATTGTCTACTATAAATATCAATTTTTTAATTCTTAATTCAAGTAAAAGTACTAATGTATAAATAAACAGTTGATATATAGAAATAACTAACTACATAAAAGTTGAGATTTTAGTTTATCATAATCAGTCCCAATTTTATTAACTTAGTATATACTTGATGATGAATTTTTAATTTGAAACTGGTCATACTATATTTATATAATTATACTCCAGACTAAAATTTTATTTATTTATTTATTTTTAAATATAAAATATTTGTTTATTTATATATTAATTTACAAATATATAATATTTATTGATTTTTATTATTTTTTTTTTTTTAAAGTATTACTTTTGCATTTTAATATATCAAGGATATCTGATTTTATCAACATTCACAAAAATTATAAACATTTGCCCATTGTCATCATCAATGTTCACATATTGATAAACTTCTTAATTACACTTAAATTAATTAATGAATTTTAACTAAGATATTTTTAAAAATGTTTATATATTACTATTTATGATGGTCATATTTATGTAAGTCTACTAGATGTTCATAACTGTTTTAACTAATTTTATTTATTGAAAAATAATTTGCAAAGAATGTCGTTCAGTAAGGTCTAAACTGGGCATTATAACTTTAACATATTGTTTCAAACATGTTTTAGATACCATCTTATATTTTTTAAATATTATAATAATAATATTTTTGCCATATGAATTAAAAAAATAAAATAACATTTTGTATTAAATATATTATAAAAAGTATTATTCGGTCGACCCTGAGTAATTGAATGCTTGGTTATGTTAAGACCTAACAAATTATGTATTCCCTTTGTTTAATATTTTATACAATTTGGTTGGTCACAAGCAAGCTTGGGCATTAAAGAGTTAAGAAGTTAAAAGTTAAGTTAATTTAACTTATTTCATTACTGATAAATAACTTATTAATTTAACTAATTTCTTTACAGATTAACTTGAAATTAACGTATTATTTTTTAATTTATCCCAATTAAGTTAATTTTGATATTCAAGACCATAAAAATGTTTTTTTAAAATACCATATTCAATAACAAGTTTATGGAGTTTATAATAATATAAAAATAAATATTTCGAAAAATTTTTAAAAAAGAGCATATTATCTATCACGATATTAACTAATAATAGGTATCCCACCCGTCTCGGGAAAAGTAGTCAACCGTTTTAAGACAGTTGAGTAAAATTAGTCATGCCACCCATGAACTACATTACCATTGTCATGAAAAGTGGCCGTAAATCTATATTACATAAATAGGTACATATTATCATTGATTATAGCATACAATTATTATTAAAATTATTCCTTAATCAATGATATTATGTAATATTATTGGATTAGAGAAGAAATTTAAAAGCTGATCAAAATGTTGAGATTCATTAGGTAATTTGACACACCTGTCCATTGTATTGTTTTATTTATTTTTATTTTAATAAAGTTAAATAATATTGTATATTTATTTTAATGTTTTGCATTAACTGTATAAATTTATTGTCTGTATAATTTTATAGTTAGGTACACTTTCAGCTGCGGTAATTATTTTTAGTTTTCATACTGTTATTGAACATTAAAAAAAAATACTTTTTTTGAAATTATATTTATTATTTGTGATTTGCATAAAAATTAATAAAAAATAAACATAATAAATATAATATATATATATATATATATATATATTTATTTATTATACATAAATTATAATAAATTTGATGTTTGAGTGATTAAAAATAATCCAAATAAAGAAATATATATATATTTTCTACTCTAATTAGAGTTCAATACATATATTCTTATATAAGATTTTTCTGCTTTTTCATTATTATTAATGTTAATTAAGATCTGTTGTAAATTGTTTATATATATAATTTATATCAGTGCTTAATGTAATTTTTTTATTTTTAAAATTAACTAACCATTAACTTCAAACTTTAAAATATAATAAAATATCTGTAACTTCATAACATTTTTTGATCATACTTTTATATTATTATTATATTATTATACATATTATAATATTATATTATATTATATTATATTTGCTCATTTGACTGGTCGTTTCGTAAATCATAAAAAAATGTATATTAACAGCAGAAAATTAACCGTTAAACCTAAAATTGTATAGTTTAATAGATTTTAGAAAAATCGTAAAGTATTGTTCACTAAATTAGTTTAAAATGTAATCGCAATTGGCAAAGCTTACCATCGAGTATTCAATAATTGTAATCATATATTAAAACATACATATCTATATTGTAAATAACTTTGGCAGGTGGTTAAATGTATATCCTTCAAAATAAATGCCATTTTGGATTATTTATAGTTTCGTACGACTCTCCCGATTTCAATGATCTGTAAACTCGTTACTCGTTAATAGGTTTGAATACATAAAAATATATAAATACTAATAGGACGCCATATTCATAAGTATGCCATGGGTATAATCAGTGATGTAGTCGTAAAAATATAAGCGGTTCGTCAATTTTGTTAATACCACAAATTAATTATAACAAACAAATGTGGGGGAAGGGCTCTGCGTCATTTATGCGATTTTCCAGTAAAAATATTTTTCTTTAATTACAAAGAAAATCTAGTATCTAATTTTCAAGCCTAAAGTAAAAAAAATGATATTAAAAAAGTTCAAGTTTTATTTAAAGATAATTTAATTAATAAAATTAGAGTAATATTATCCAATTTTCAATGCATTACAGAAATCATCTTACAAATAGAAAATCAGGTACTAATCTCAGAAAAACCATCTTGTTAGTTTAAAATTTTGAAAATAAGTGAAGGAGAAATATTAATAAAAGTCACTAAAATTAAGCTAACACAAGCATTATACCTATATAATTTGTTATCTAAAAATTTGTGGCACATTAAGTGGAGGTATAAACTACGATAATGAAGAAATTGAAGAGTTGACACCTGAAAACATTTCTTGTTATAAATAGTCGCCTATAGTGTCATGTGATCTAAAAAAAAGTTTTTAAAAAATTTATTTTAGATTGTATACTCACAACAATCGTAGGAATTTCCAATTTAAAAAAAAAAATAACATTATGTTATTTTATGTTGGTATTCGTTCCAAAATTAATAATACATTCGTTATTTATTATTAATTTTACATTTATTGAATTAAACTTTGTTTATAAACATTTTGTACACATTTGTTAGCAGAAGTATACTGATATTTAAATTGTATTTTTTCATTATAATCAGGGCTCGAAAGTTCTAGCAAATGTATATTTTTCTTGGTTAATCCTAGAACATTCATAGTAAGATACAAATATGTTTCTCACTACTCGGATATCATACACAAAATTTAATTTTGCTATTTTTTGCGTATTTACGGGTTTTATTGCTATTTTGCTAATTTAGGGTTTATAGTGCTATTTTCGGGTATATTTTCATATAATGTTAGAAATAATCAAATTTTGTTGATAATGATTGTATTTACTTGGTTATGTTTTTAAAAATATTTTAATTATTGGAAATAAATAGACTTCATCAAATATTATTTTATGTTTTCATTGACAATTTGTTGTACCTATTAATAGTTAGTGACGTCATTGTTATTCTCTTATTATACCATTACCATAGGCGTGCGCAGACCTCTTTTTCAGGGTATGCAAAAGGCTACCACTGCCTACCTCCCTCCCCTAAAACTGAAAGTTAATTTAAGCGTTTGAAATTCTGGTCTTAATAACTATTTAATTTTAAATTTTAAATTTTTTTTCCCGAAAAAAGTGACTGGATAACCATTTCTTAATCGTTTTAAATGTCTTTATAATTAAAATTTAAAATAAATTACGAAAAAAAAAAATCTAAATACATAATACTTGTAATGGTTTGAGTAATACGTTTAAATAGCGAATAAATAAAAACGTAATTATATACTTAAATGAAAAACAAACTAAATTTGATAAATAATCAAAATTAATCATAAAACGATTCTGCGTACAGTTAAGTTATTAAATCACTGATAATGTTTTCGGGATTTTATTTATAGCTATTTCTTGTTCTGTAGTTGATAGTTATTTAATCCCACTTGAATTATTGTACTTCTTAATTCATTAACACATTAAATCGTTATTGCAGTATATGATTTGTGATTTAAAAATAAATTAAACTGTCTGGGACTGAATATGATAAAAATCATAATTTAATACAAAATCACATAATATACATAAGACCAAATATGTCATAATTTTTATTTATTTTTTGTAATTTTAGAAAGAAGGC